ACTCCAGTGGGGTTGACAGACCAGCAGGCAGGTGAGCAAGTAAGGAGCATTTGGGAGGTGCAGTTGGCCCAGGCGAGCAGTTTAATGGCAGGGAGAGGACGCTTCAGAGAGCAGTTTGCCAAACTGTGCTCTGAAGTGCCTCCCGCTGGAGGAGGGGCTTGCGGCGAGGGACCTGTGGTGGGGAGGTTAAGTTTGGGCAACCTGTGAGGGGATAGGCGAGAGGGTGGGTGAGGTGGAAAGGGAGGAGGGAAAGCGGAATGGCAAAGCGGTAGGTGGAGCTGGCAAATGGAACGAGCAGGAGCAGCAGTCCCTAGTTCATACACACACAGGTCACAGGATGATCTGACTGCACCATAGGACCACTCTCTTGCTGATGCTCAGCTGGCCTGATCCTGGTCAATGCCTGAAGGGGAGACTTGCATTAGATTCCAGGAAAGAAGCAAAGTGGGATATAAATAGTAATAAATAAACAAATAGATGATTCGTGCCAGCTTAAATAGACTGGCATAAAAAAAAACCCCTCCCTAAATCAGTGTTGGACCAAAAACTTCCATCAGCCCCAGGCGACTGGCTTCTGCCATGATACATAAATCTGTTAATCTTTAAGGAACAGGAATTCCTTTTATTGCATCTTGTTGCAACGGAAAAGCACGGCCCTCACCCATCACTTAGTTCCATCTCCACATTTGTCTCTGAACCTGCGAAATATTTGGAGGCGTGAGAAACCCAGTGGAGAGGTCCTAGGTTCTGATCGAATAATAATAATAGCAATAGTTTTATTATTTGTACCCAGTCCATCTGGCTGGGTTGCCCCGGCCACTCTGAGCGGCTTCCGACAGATGTAAAAACCTAATAAAACAGCAAACGTTAAAAAGTTCCCAACACAGAGCTGCCTTCAGGTGTCTTCTAAAAGTTGCGCAGTTATTTATCTCCTTGACATCTGGTGGGAGGGTGTTCCACAGGGCGGGCTCAGCTACTGAGAAAGCTCTCTGCCTGGTTCCCTGTAACTGTGCGTTAGTCCGATAAGTGCCAATCGGCTTGTTTTGTCTGGGGCGGGACCTGCAACTATCACCTTCTGACAGCATCTCTGTCTGTGGGTAATTGCATCTCTCGCTCTCTCCTAAGCCTTTTTGCAGAGGGGACTTCAAGCCCACTGTCGGGCACTGGTGAACCTGGTGCATGCAGCCTGCAGCCCCAGCCGTCGCTAAATGGAAACCAGCTAATTATCCACGAAGCATTATATCCCCATCATCGTTTTCCTGTATTATGGGTTCTCTCTTGCTCTGTCTGCGTCTCTCTCGGTCAAGGCTCTTGGTACATTGGCTGGCTGCATCTTCCTTTTGTCTCGTTCGGCATTGTTCAATGGGCTTAAATCACCCAGGTGCAATGCTGATGGCTCAGGTGGGTGGCTTGCTTAATGCAGAGCCGGAGCCACAAATCCTGGGAGGTGTTTTTGTGCAGCAAGAACTAGAGGTGTGCATAATGATACAGACCCACGAAGGTGGTGATTAGGCAGCTTGAGCGTGTCGTAAGTTTCTCTCTCTCCTGCGTGGCGATTGCCAAATCCCCGCCATTTCTCATGGAAGGGTGTTGGCTGCTCACTCGCTGTCACTCTGCCGCTTCTCCGGAGACATGTTGATGAATGTTCTGATTAGCACAAACTTTTGTCTGCCACTGGCGACTACTTCGCTTATCCACGGCTGCATCAGGTGCTCCTTCTTTCCTTCGTTCCGGCAAGGAGACACGGGATGCACCGTTTCCAGCTGCTTAAAAGCACCTTCCATCCCTTTCGCTGCTAGTCTTGGTGACTCTGATCTCAGGGCCGCAGCCCATCCTCTGGTGCTGCCATGGTAAAAAATTGCCCAAGTAAAATAGTTGGATTGTATGCAACTTAGTCCTACTCAGATCACACCTGCCGAAATGAATGCCCTGTTTAATTTCAGTGGGCCTGCTCTGAATAGGATACAGCGCATGGAGTTGGAGGGGACCTCAGAGGTCTTCTAGTCTCACCCCCGTGCAATGCAGGATGCAACCACAGCGTCCTTAACAGATGTCAATCCAGCCTCTGTTAAGTGTCTCCAGTGAAAGAGAGCCCACTGTAAAGCTGCTCTCACTGTTGAGAAGTGTCTCTTAATGCTTAGCCAGAATTTATTTCTCTCTCATTTCCAATCACTGATTACAGTCCTCTGGTACGATGGAGAACAAGTCTCTTCATCTCCCTCACGGCAGCCCTTCAGATATTTAAAGGCTGCTAGCATGTCTTTCCTTAACCTGTCGTTCTCCAGGAGCAGGTGTCAGGAAAGGGTCAGCAATAATCAAGTGAAGTTAACTCCTTAGTAGAAGAAATTAGGGCTGCTGAGTAGTGCCAGGCCTAATGAGCACAGCAACTCTTCCTGGTAGATCTTGCCCCTACGAGACAGTTGTGGGGACTGACGGTCCCCATCTTCCCACAGCTGCCTAAACCTCCTCTTCTCCTGGTTCCTTCCCAAGCAGTCTGAGACTCCGCTGGTGTGCCTGTCTCTGCTCCTCCCTCTTAATACCTCTTCTGGTTCTGGGAGACCAGCAGGGAGGGGAGCTTGTCGTAGCAGGAGGGGGAGATACTCTGACTCCTTCACCAGCCTTATTCTTCTCTGCCTCTTGGTCTCCCTCCTCTCCTGCTTCCACTTCTGCTTCTGAACTGCTCTCTGCCACAGACTCTCCCCACTGACTAAACCCTGTTGCCTCTTCATCTTCCAGCACTTCTTCCTAGTCTTCTCCCTCTCATTGCTGTCTCACCACCGATCCCGGGGCTCCGGGCCTTCTTCCCTTGGGGGTTCCCCAGCTGGTTCCTCCCACCAATTCTCTGCGTCCAGCCAGTCCATGACAGCATCAGATATTTGAAGACTGCTACCATGTCTCTCCTTAACCTGTCGTTCTCCAGGCCAGCACACCGTTCCCAGGCTAGAGCTGCTTCTCTGAGCCATCCATAGACCCTAGTAGAGCAGCTGCTTGGGATGCAGAAGGCCGCTGGTTCAATGCCCAGTGATCTCTCACTGGGCCAGTGTGGTGTAGTGGTTAAGAGGCGGTAGTCTCGTAATCTGGTGAACCAGGTTGGAGTCTCTGCTCCTCCACATGCAGCTGCTGGGTGACCTTGGGCCAGTCACACTTCTCTGAAGTCTCTCAGCCTCACCTCACAGAGTGTTTGTTGTGGGGGAGGAAGGGAAAGGAGAATGTTAGCTGCTTTGGGACTCCTTCGGGTAGCGATAAAGCGGGATATCAAATCCAAACTCCTCTTCTTCTTCTCTCTAGGCAGGGCTGGGAAAGATACCTCTGCCTGAAACCCCACAGAGTCTCTGCCTGTCAGTGTTGACAATACTGAGCTAGATGGGACCAAAGGCCGTATGTGGGATAAAGCAGTTTTCTAAGTACCTAATTGTTCCTTGTGGGGACTCAGTTTACAGACCCCTCACCACCCTGGGATATGTGGCAGTTTGTCAGTGCACCTCCTTGAAAAAAGGACTTGCGGGCATTTAAGGGGTGAGAGAGAGTTTGGAGGAGACGAAGGGAGAAAAGGGCCTGTTGAAATGCAATCGAGGAAACCTGGCAATTGCAGCAACTCCCCCCAAAGGAGGTTTCAGGGCAGAAAGTCATGCATGGAAGTAAGGAGGCTCTCCTTCCCTCGGGTGCCCCTTACATCATCAGTGTGGTCTCCCTGGCTGCCTCTCCAATTTAATTCTTCCGAAACTGTAGAAAAACACTCTCAGGGCCCAGTGGACGTCCCACATGGGCTTGTGTGTGAAATAGGAAATTGGCTCCAATTAGCACGGCAGATCTCGGCTGACCCGGGAGATTACTTTCCCGAGTATTCACGCTGGAATTGGGACAATGTGGTGCGGATCCCTCCTGTGGTAGCAAAGGCTGATTTAAGCATTGCATGGATGCTTTTCTTCTTTATTTTAAAAAAAGCATGCCTAAAGCCAGACTTCGCCAACCTGGTGCTCTCCAGATGTTTGGGGTTACAATCCTGTCAACAGCAATAAAGAATCAGCATAATATCCTGCTCGCCTGCTAAAAATTTGCAGAGCGGCATAGCCAATTGCACAACAATAAAACCATTTAATAGTAAAAGTGCAACTAAAGCTCGTTTTTTTAAAGCAGTAGCAAAGAACACTTTTTTGGGGGGGGGGAATGACTCAAAATCGGAGAGCACTAAGAATAAAAAAAGATGTTGAAGCTGGCAGCTAAGCCTGGGTGTTACTAGGCGCTTCTGATAAAAGAGCCTTGGATTTCTTGTGAAATAAGTTTTTCCTTTTTGCCCTTTCGGAACTTGTCAATCAACTTTGTTGGGCCCCGACTGATTAATCAACTGACACTTATGTTGGTTTATCTGATTAATGTAATTGCAAATGTGCTGCGGGAAAGCTAGACCTTGTATACTTTGTGGTCGTTTGTCCTTTGGTAGGTGTCTTGCCTCTTTGCTAGGCTGGAAATGGTTTACATTCCCTCCCATTTTATCCACACAACAACCCTTTGAGGTAGGTTAGTCAGACAGGCAGTGACTGGTCCAAGACCATCCATTGAGCTTCATGGGCAAGTGGGGATTTGAACCCTGGTCTCCCAGGTCCTAGTCTGACACTCTAACCATTACACCACAGTGTCTCTCCTACTAACTAGCTGGAATGGAAATATTTATTCCTGATCTTCCGGCAAAGTGAATGAAGAGGTCCTGCGGTCCCATCTTCCTCCCTCCATCTCTTATCTAGTCTGAGGAAATGACTGCTTAGCTGCAGCTTACTGTATTGTTTTATAATTTTAATTTTAAAAAACAACAGTGCTAACATTTGAATTTGGGAAGCTGATATTTGATGATGCCACCTCCTTCTAAAAAATAATAATCCGGCCTGTCTTTAGTAAATGGGGACAGCAAGCTCTCTTGAACATGCCTTGAGGATTGCTGCTTTTCACAGGTACTGTATTCAGAATCCAACTTCATTCATCCGATGTTATTCTCTGCCCTGCAGGTGTTTTGCTAGACATTCAGCAACATTTCGGAGTCAAGGACAGCGGAGCCGGCTTGCTGCAGACAGGTAAGAGAACTGTTGAGCGTGTTTTCCCTCCTCTTCTGTGCGGCTTCTTAATCCAAGGTCGCAGTGCCCTTGCGAGTGAGCGCTGGCTTGGTTTTAAATCGCAGCTGGCTGGCAAACGCCTGTTTTTACATCCTTGGCCCTGCTTTGACTCAGCTCAGCTGCAGCTTGGCCTTCAGCCTCCAAGCAAAGCAGAGCAAGGCAGGTGATGGGTGTGAGGAATGACATAGATGCTTGTAGCATCTTTTTTCTTCCATTGGCAAAGAGCATCTCGGTATCCCAGGTAAAGCAGACAACGTTTCCTGTTTTGTGTAGCTTTGGGGAGCGGAACTGAGCCTAAGGCAGTGCTGAGCCTTAGGAAACAGATGACGGTCATAATAATCGCCATCACTTCACAGTGGTACCTCGAGTTACATACGCTTCAGGTTACAGACGCTTCAGGTTGCAGACTCCGCTAACCCAGAAATAGTACCTTGGGTTAAGAACTTTGCTTCAGGATGAGAACAGAAATCGTGCTCTGGCGGCACAGCAGCAGCAGGAGGCCCCATTAGCTAAAGTGGTGCTTCAGGTTAAGAACAGTTTCAGGTTAAGAATGGACCTCCGGAACGAATTAAGTATTTAAGCCGAGGTACCACTGTATTAAGGGACACTGGTGGCACTGTGGGTTAAAACACAGAGTCTAGGACTTGCCGATCAGAAGGTCGGCGGTTTGAATCCCCGCGATGGGGTGAGCTCCCGTTGTTCGGTCCCTGCTCCTGCCAACCTAACAGTTCGAAAGCACGTCAAAGTGCAAGTAGATAAATAGGTACCGCTCCGGCGGGAAGGTAAACGGTGTTTCCGTGTGCTGCTCTGGTTCACCAGAAGCGGCTTAGTCATGCTGGCCACATGACCCGGAAGCTGTATGCCGGCTCCCTCGGCCAATAAAGCGAGATGAGCGCTGCAACCCCAGAGTCGGTCACGACTGGACCTAATGGTCAGGGGTCCCTTTACCCTTTACTTTACCACTTTACAGTGGTACCCCGCAAGACGAATGCCTCGCAAGACGGAAAACCCGCAAGACGAAAGGGTTTTCTGTTTTGGAGGCGCTTCGCAAGACGAATTTCCCTATGGGCTTGCTTCGCAAGACGAAAGCCCATAGGGAAATCTCCGGGGACCTGTTTTAAATTGCTGGCGGTCGGGAGCAAAGACTTTCGCCCACAGCCGGCCTTCAGAAGAGGTCCTGGACCTCTTCTGAAGGCCGGCGGGGGGCAAAAGTCTTTGCTCCCCCCGCCTGCCTTCCCGGGACAGCGGAGACTTCTCCGCTGCCCCGGGCGATCTTAAAATGCTGGCGGGCGGGAGCGAACGCTTCGCTCCCGACCCCCAGCATTTTAAAATCTTTGGGCGAGTGTCTGCAAGCCTCGCGCACCGGGCAGGAGGTCCCGCCGGGTGCGCGAGGCTTGGGGCGGCAGCCTGTCACCCGAAGCACGGGGAGCCCTTCGGAGAGCTCCCCTTGCTTTGGGCGAGTGTCTGCAAGCCTCGCGCGCCCGGCAGGAGGTCCCGCCGGGTGCGCGAGGCTTGGGGCGGCAGCCTGTCACCCGAAGTACGGGGAGCCCTTCGGAGAGCTCCCCTTGCTTTGGGCGAGTGTCTGCAAGCCTCGCACGCCCGGCAGGAGGTCCCGCCGGGTGCGCGAGGCTTGGGGCGGCAGCCTGTCGCCCGAAGCACGGGGAGCCCTCCGGAGGGCTTCCCCTGCTTCGGGCGAGTGTCTGCAAGCCTCGCGCACCCGGCAGGAGGTCCCACCGGGTGCGCGAGGCTTGGGGCGGCAGCCTGTCACCCGAAGCACGGGGAGCCCTTCGGAGAGCTCCCCTTGCTTTGGGCGAGTGTCTGCAAGCCTCGCGCGCCCGGCAGGAGGTCCCGCCGGGTGCGCGAGGCTTGGGGCGGCAGCCTGTCACCCGAAGCACGGGGAGCCCTTCGGAGAGCTCCCCTTGCTTTGGGCGAGTGTCTGCAAGCCTCGTGCACCCGGCAGGAGGTCCCGCCGGGTGCGCGAGGCTTGGGGCGGCAGCCTGTTGCCCGAAGCACGGGGAGCCCTCCGGAGGGCTTCCCCTGCTTCGGGCGAGTGTCAGCAAGCCTCGCGCACCCGGCAGGAGGTCCCACCGGGTGCGCGAGGCTTGGGGCGGCAGCCTGTCACCCGAAGCACGGGGAGCCCTTCGGAGAGCTCCCCTTGCTTCGGGCGAGTGTCAGCAAGCCTCGCGCACCCGGCAGGAGGTCCCACCGGGTGCGCGAGGCTTGGGGCGGCAGCCTGTCACCCGAAGCACGGGGAGCCCTTCGGAGAGCTCCCCTTGCTTCGGGCGAGTGTCAGCAAGCCTCGCGCACCCGGCAGGAGGTCCCACCGGGTGCGCGAGGCTTGGGGCGGCAGCCTGTCACCCGAAGCACGGGGAGCCCTTCGGAGAGCTCCCCTTGCTTTGGGCGAGTGTCTGCAAGCCTCGTGCACCCGGCAGGAGGTCCCGCCGGGTGCGCGAGGCTTGGGGCGGCAGCCTGTTGCCCGAAGCACGGGGAGCCCTCCGGAGGGCTTCCCCTGCTTCGGGCGAGTGTCAGCAAGCCTCGCGCACCCGGCAGGAGGTCCCACCGGGTGCGCGAGGCTTGGGGCGGCAGCCTGTCACCCGAAGCACGGGGAGCCCTTCGGAGAGCTCCCCTTGCTTCGGGCGAGTGTCAGCAAGCTTCGCGCGCCCGGCAGGAGGTCCCCGGAGCTTGCGGGGCGGGAGGTGGGAAGAAGGGCTTTTTTTCCCACCGCCAGCCTTCAGAACAGCCTTCTGAAGGCTGGCAGTGGGAAAAAAGCCCTTGTTCCCCCCCCCCCAGCCTTCAGAAGAGGTCGGGGGACAGACTGTCCCCGGACCTGGTCTGAAGGTGGTTTCCCTAGGAACGCATTAATTGATTTTCAATGCATTCCTATGGGAAACCGTGCATCGCAAGACGAAAAACTCGCAAGAAGAAAAAACTTGCGGAACGAATTAATTTCGTCTTGCGAGGCACCACTGTATTACCATAAGCAGATCATCCTGATGGCTTTTCTCTGGTGGTTTCCCATTGGTGGGAATGTTCTCCCCAGGGAGAGCACCATCGTTACATATCTTCAGGTGCCAGGCAAAAACATTCCTTTTTTAACCAGGTCTTTGGCTTTTAACTATCTGTGGTGTATTAGAATGCGTGGGATGCTTTAAGGCATTTCCCCCCTAGTTTTAATGTATGTGGGTGTTGTGGGGTTTTTTTGTAAGCCACTTTGAGTTGCCACAGAAAAAAGAGTGGCTAATAAATTTAATAAATGAATGATTCAATCTTGGGTTCTCCAACACTGTAGGACTGCAACCCCAATAATCCCGAACCAGATTATAAAATTAGGGGTGGGTGCTTTGAGAGGGTTTTGGAGCATTTAGCCCATCACAGGAGGGTTCTAAGAGGAGTCGCGGAACAAGACAGTTTTGATGCTGTACATCAAACGGTTGCAGCAGCATTTGGGAATTTTGAATTTAGAGAAAAGAGAAAGTAGCCTCATTGGCGGCCCTATTCTCGTGCGTCCCAAAGTCCACGCAAGGGATTTTCGCAGGTGGGTTGGGCTACCCACCTGCCAGTCACAGCACATTGTGATGGCGCCACGTGATCGACCGGTCTGTGGTCCCGCCCACCTTCCATAGTAGATCTGGAGCCAAACGGGTTCCCCACCCAGGCTGCAAAGCTCTCTGAATCTTCTGCCAGCCAATCCTGGCTCGCAAAACACGTGGCCAGATGGTGCTCTTTTGTAAAGGTGGCGTTCGGTGAAGCTGCTGCACGCGGCACATATTGCAGACAGACGGCCTTGGCTTTTTCCAAGCCCGGCTAGAAAGAAGCCGCATCACTTGGTTGCACCCAACGCAGCGTAGGCGTGTGTGCATCAGGGACCTTATTAACTAATTCCGTTCCTTGTTGCACGGTGGATATTATTCATATAAAACCTAGAACCTGACTGTAGGTCTGTCCTCCCTCTGCTCTCCCACCCCAGAGTACCAAAATTAGTAGTTTGTTCCTGTAGAGCCAGGAAGATGGTGTTTGCAGTTGGTTCAGGTGTCGCACCAAACCATGGTTTTCACTAAATGAAGTCTAGATCCCAAACCACAATGTGGTAAAAATGTACGTGTGATTCACTGATTTGTGCATCCTCACCCCATATCCTGAGTATCCTCAGCAGGGTGGAGCAATGTCCCCAAACCAGAGCTTCTTGGTTTGGATGTAACACTAAACCTTGGTTTGCACCACTTTGTGGCTTTTGGTATATTTTGCTGTCTGAGCAAAAAGCAACCATTAGACTTAACACACTATGGCATAAACTTGGATAGGCTAAAGTTGGCCACTGTGGGAACAGGATGCTAGACTACATGGGCCATTGGCTTCATCCAGCAGCCTCATCTTATGTTCATATGTTGTTGGTGGTGACCCTGAAGAGAGAGGTTTGCATAAAGCCCAAGAGCCCAGATGGGGCCGAATGCAGAAACACAAGGCCCAGCGATGAGCAAGGACTGTAAACCAAGGCTGGTTATTTTAGCATTCCTTGAGCGACTTCCCTCTGCAAGTGCACTCCCCCCCCCTTGAATTCCAATATAATTTGACAAATGTCTCTCTGACTCTTAAAGAATAAGGATCGGCGGAGGCTACTGCCAGCCTCACTTTGCTGTGCGTCTTCAGATGTTTTCAGGGATTTGAATTAACCTTGGCACAGGAAAGAAGTAAAAGGCAGGCATGGTTTTCAGCTCTGCGTCTGCATTTTAACTGATACACACACCTTCCCTGCGTGGAGCGGAGAATGGTGACATTTCAGCTCTTGCCTACTTTGCTCTGCATGTTCAAATGTGCATTTTGGGGGAAAGGTCTGAATTTTTACACGAGAGCGACATCAAAGCAACAATGCTTTCCCAAGCCACTGGTGTGGTTTTTTGATCTGGTTTTAGGAAGCTGGTGGTGTGACTTGGTTCCCCTTTCCATTGGAATAACCCATGGTT